GTATCACATACCTTGAACTCCATGCTCTCCTTGATGCGGATGGTCACTCGCGTCACTTCGCCCAGCTTCGGCCTTCCCTGCTGAGCAATCTTCTCCTCTTCCGTCATGTCCTCTTCACACTTCACCTCGGCGCCGGAGTCGTTGTCGTCTGAAGCGCAAAGGAAGCCGAGGCCGTCAAACTCCTAAACACTGCGAGGATAGATGGCGCCACGGAATAGTGACAATGGATGGTCATTTAAAATAGGTGGCGTGGAAGCGCGTTATAGAGCGAGCATGAAAGCAATAGATTGCTCCGATGTACCGTCCGAGTCACAAAACCAAGAGATGTCATTTGTTATTGTTGATCATTGGTGGATTTATTGTTGATTCACTTTGTCGCTCCCCTTAATACTTGTTATTAAAATCATTGCTACATGTGTTCAGCTTAATGTAAATGTGACCATATATCGTTAACAACGATCAACAGCTATCGATGGCCGCCAGCGTCGCGCATGCGTCATATTTACGAGTTATCGTGACGAATACACGTTTATGGACGACGCGCGTTTATACATAAACAATAACCATGCATGCATGTATAACAGTTATCCGCGATCAGTTTCTGTCAGTGTTCAGTGTTCACGCGCGCGCGAGTTCTGCTCATCTATCATGAATGAATAGCGATGCTCAGCACTTGCCCATAATCAACGACCACTTGTGTTTAGCGGACACCGCGATGACTAACTGATCTGAACTGCTGCCTTTATCGCAGCCAAATTGGCTGACATCCAGCTAATTAAATTGCCCAGTGCCCCTAAATTGGCCACGACTATTTGATCGGAAATGAAAGAACAGTTTGCATTGCATTGACGGGTGAGTAAATCGGATCAGAAGAGAGGAGTAACACAGAATTGCCCGACGAACCTATCGTACATCACAGGTTGACGAGAGAATAATAGATTGACAGACAGACAGACAGACAGACAGACAGACAGCCACACACAACCCTCGCTCTCTCTCTCTCGCTATTTCTCTCTTTCATTCTCTTCCTCGCCGGTGAGCATGGGAGTCTTGGCACACAGGCAAGAATGCTGTGAGCGTACTTAATTTGCATTCTTCTTTCATTAGTGAGAGCGAGCAAACACTTCAGTGCGAGCGCCGCAGACACAGCGGGCAAGGTGACAAGAGCAGCGTCAAGAGCATGGGCTTCACCGACGTAACGGGGGACATGCACGTAATGAACGCATATCTCAGGGCAGGCAAGCAGGAATAGAGTCGATAATTGTATAAATGGGACCCCACGGGCAACGCGTTGGGTGTATACATATGTGTAGGCCTAGATTATATCCGATATTTATGTACTATATCTCTTTGTTACGGTTATTGTTACAGCAGAATATGCTGTTAGAGAATTCTATAGGAACGTTTCGGTGGCTGTCCGAGGTGCAAAAAGAAAGATCGAAAGATTAGATCTATAGGAACAAAGAGGGGCCGTCAAGAAATGTGAAGAAGAGATGATTTGAATGATATGGAGAAATACATGCAACGACAAGACAACGGAAATTTCCGGGGAGACTGCATCTAATATTCTCTATGATACATAAAATTACCTTAAATTAATGTTGCTAAATAGCGCAATGTTTATTATCAAAATACTGCGGTTTGCTTGTCTACTAAATTATTTAAGCATTTCTCCCTTACTGTATGGGCGTCGTACAAGCGCGACAAATACAAAATTACATTCATCACATTTACTGAAAGCGCGTGAAATCACCGTGCGAGAGCGAACGGTGGCGCATTCATGCAGGGAGTAGTCTCTCATGCTCCGTCAACGTGATACAATTCTGCCGTCGATGCAGTAATATGCATTATAGATGACGCAACCCCTTGACGTTACATAACTAAATCCCGCCAGGGGGCTCTCTCACGTCGGCGTTGCTGACTGCGCAGTCTGAGCGGGGTACGAGCACTGATCTCTATATACTAATATAAGATAATAGTTATAGAATATATGGAATTTTGTATATAGAGATCACTGGGTACGAGCAGAGCACGTATATCATATACGTCAGGAGTAGATAATAGGGATCCTATATAGTCCCTATTATCTACTCCTGATATACGTGCTCTGGTACGAGGTAATGGGCTAGCTCAGACTGCAGCGCTACCTAGCGGACGCGGATCGCGCACGTGGCGCAGCCATCGAGCTGTGTCTATTGGGTGTTGCTATCCCCCGGGCGTGGAGGGAGGTCACGTGATAACACTATCCCAACACTAGTGCTGCCACGTTGCGGTCACCTCCCTCCACGCCCGGGGGATAGCATTACCCGTGTCTATTTAGAGCGGCGGCTTTCATGGTGGTCACGTATTCCGGGCTATACAGGCATGTTGGGTTATGCCGACAAGCTAGGCTCGAATTCTGCTCGAATTCTGCTCGAATGTCAGTAATACCCGCACCACACCACGCCACGCTACGCCACGCCACGCCACGCCACGCAGTGAAAGTTAAGTTTGGATGCTAGCGATACAATCTGTTTTTCGAGAACCATCACCGCGGTGGTGAATAACGCATAGGAAGTAGCTCCGTCTAGAATATCTACCGTCTCTTTCTTTCTCTTTGTCTCTCTCTCTCTCTCTCGCGCGCGCTCTCTCTATCTCGCTCTCTCTCTCACACACAAACTTTTGCTGGCTCTCTCTCGCTCGCTCGCTCGCTCTCGTACTCTCCGTCTTTCTCTTTCTCACTTGCTCTCTTTCTTCCTCTTTCTCGTCCCCCTCTCTCTCTCTTCCTTGGCCTCTCGTGCTTTCACTCGCCGCTCCCTTTCCCCCTCCACATCTCTCACTGGCCATCTCTGCTCTACTTATTCTCTTGTTCGTTAGTTTACTTAACCTACACACGCAGCACGCACGCACTCACGATCGCATGCACGCGCGCACCACGCTGTCTGTCTCGCGCCCCACTTATCACTAATCATCTACACACGTTCTGACTAAATCACTATATCACTTATCACTAATCATCTACACACGTTCTGACGGCAAAAAAACGCAAATATTTTTTAAGATACCGCACCCGTTGTAAAACGAGAAAAACCAGCCACAAAACGCAAACTGAGATTTCTTGGCAACATGACAGTTCTGCCAACAATCGCATGAAAATCACACAAAATTATACCCAGGCGCTTGCGCATACACACACGCACACGCATGCGCATACGAACACGCGCACACATACGCACATGTATACGCACACGCACGCACTCCGCCCCCGCCCCCCCACACACACACACGCGCGCACGCACACACACACATGCACACGCAAGCGCAAACACACACACACACACACACACACACACACACACACACACACACATACACATCAGGCAATAGTTGTATTATCATATTGTAACATATGAGTCGGCGACCATGTCCGCTAACTAGGTATGTGTGAGACACAGTCTCCTCGCACTCCCCACCTACACCCTATATAATAGTATATGAAGCTGGCGCAACATCTCCCCGTTCGCAGCTGCTGCTTCTGCTGTTTGCAGCTGACTCACGTCGGCCCGCTCTCTGGCTCACAGACGCGTTTATTTCAAAAACAGCATTGAAAAAAACAGCTTCACAGAATTCATGCCCGAGGGATAGCTCGCTGGCACACTAGTTTGCATACGTAACTCGGGGGGGGGGGGCTTCAGTGTGCTATCTCTGCTGTACGGGGAAACAGGGGGACGACCAAACAGCCTGACAATACGTGAAGATCAGCATATAGACGAGAGTAACTCGTAATGCTGAGCACATTTTTGCCGCGTTCTCTGACGCTCTGATATGCGGATATGGCCGAAATTTTCCGAACCGCAAGACATGGAAATATTTTCAATTTAAACTTTTTTGCATTTATCGCTACGCAGCAGCAGTAGCATCACATATAGTAAGCATAATCACGAACAAGGCGAGTAGTCCTCGCTGATACTGTCTTTAATTCTCCCTCTGACGTTACTCGGTGCATGAATGCAAGCGCGCGCGCGTGTGTGTGTGTGTGTGTGTGCGTGCGTGTGTGCGTGTGTGTGCGCGCGTGTGCGTGCGTCGGGGGTCGCGTGAAATACCTGGCACGCTGGTTCCTAGAGCGACGAACGAGATGGCGGTGACGGTGTCCTGCAGTCCAACTGTGCAGCCGAAGTGTGAAGCCAGGTCCCCGATGACGGCTGTCAGCAATCCTATCGCGATGATGCTACACGTGAAACAGAGCCATCCTCCCGCGTAATCTGCAAAGACCGTCGCCATGGTTACAAACACGCGCGGACGACGTGCGTGCCGCCATGTTACGTGATAAATTACATGATAAATTGCCGTGACATGCGTAGGTTAGATCTGACTAATTCGTGTTACACGTTGAGAACTAGCATCCTGCTAGCTATACTCACGCGTCCCTACGTGTTACCAATAAAATTCACTTTGCGTTATTCACGTGTTTTCATTTTGGTCCTCGACAACTATTGTGGTTTAATTTCGGTAATAGGGTATGCCAATTATATAGCTAGCAAAGCTATACTCGCTTACATGGTGAGGTTTGTTGTATTTTTTTAAAACCTGGATACACTGCACAGATCAGCTCTCCAAGTATCTGTAATTGTCATATACCATACGTGGTAGTTTTTAGGGCTTGTACTACAACTACTGCAGCAACACTTTACTGTCGTTTCTCTCCACTAATCTTATCCTCAACATCCGTTCAGAACAGCATGTCTCCTCACCTGGGCACGTGGTGGCTGGCATGTGCCGTGGTGGCGTTGTGCGTGTGTGTGTACGTGCTATGTTGTGCGTGTCGCGTGTAGCGCGTGCGTTTGTGACGCTCGTGTGCTGCCGTGTGCGTGCGTGCTGTGCGTGCGTCGGTACTGCTCCGGAAGACGGTGTCTGGTGTGCTGGTGGCGTTGTGCGGTGTGTCGGTACGTTGAGCGTCGTTGTGGCGCGTCGTGTTACGTACGTACGTGTGTGCGCACGAGTGATTTGTGTGGTGTTATATA